ACAAACCTGGGCTGTGGCGGTGAGAGCACTGAATCTTAACCACTAGACCACCAAGGCTGGCAGTCAGTAATTAAGTGTTATAAACACTTCTCACTATTATAATAATTTTTGAAACTGATGGCCCATTTCCCGTGAATTCCTGTTACTCCATTTCTCAACCTCTGTACATCAGACCCAATACTCTCTTGGAATTTTTCTCTTCAGGTCCCCCTTGGTCTCTTCAATCTTAGGCCCAATGGTCTTTCTTATAGTCTTGCTGTCCTTAGGCAGTTAGGGAATCCAGACATATAGAAGAGTCTTTAAGGGTGAACTAGGAAGCACAGAGAAGCATAAGAGAACCCCAACCCACTGACGAGAGGGTCTTCTTATCTCCAAACCAGTTTCTTGTAGGTAGACAATAACTTCTCACCACCCCAGGTTATATGGCTGCCTTCATGGCCTGAGGCGTGGATCCCTTGCTTGAGGGATCAAACCCCTCTCAGACTGGGCAACTTGGGAGCTAAGACCCAAGCCCTAGTTCAGCACTGCGGACAGCACCATCCAGTTGCCTGGAGCTCACGAGGTCTGCAGTCTGTCTTGGGAGGACAGGCATCCCCTTGTGTGCTGAGACACCTTCATTACATCCCAGACAAATTAGTTCAAGATAAGGCTGGAGGGAGGGATGTGTTCACTATATCACAATAAATGAAGGATCTGTACACACACCTCATTTTTAGGTCATCAGTCCATAATCTTGGGTATTGGTATCAACTACCCTGATGTACAGTGTTTCCTGGGGCTTGTCCAACCATAGAAACCATTCAGATCAATGTCTCCTATGAGTGTGGGGCCAGGACTCCCAGCACCCTGAGTGCAGTAGGGTGTCCAAGGAGAGTTCAGGGCTTGGGATACTCAGTGCCTGGCTCCTGGGGGCCAGACAGAGGAGAAGGACAAGAGAGATTCCAGAACTCAGCTTCCTTGCAGTTTTTTGGGTCTAGGAGGGGGGAGGGCCAAAACTCATTCCACCCTTCACCACTGAAGAGGGAACTATTATGTTTCACTCTAAACATTCCATTCCTGTGGACATCACTGCCTTTCAAGAACATAGTAGAGGTAAGAAAGAATCTTTTCTCTGGGACTAGTTGGGAGTGGGGTCTCAGCCACCTCATAGCAGAGCTGGATCCCCAAGTTCACAAGATGGCAAGGATGAGGTCATATGTGGGATGTCCTCACTCCCCCACAGTCAGATTTCTGTCCACAAACCTTCTAGATCAAACCATAATGAACTCAAGAGCTCCACTGAAATTCCCTCAGATATCACAGCATGAAGGCCTGGGGGCCAAGGGATGGGAACATCAGCACAAAGTATTCAAAAGACGGAAGACAGATATGTCCTGGAACTCAGAGCTTCTCTGGGAATGGGAGACTCCAAGCACTGACTCTTACGGAGTAAATGTCTCTCTAGGCAATGGAATATAAACGGTTTCATAGGAATTCTTTGCCCCAGGGAAAATACAGCAGCTTTAAAATAGGAGAAACTTGAAGTTAATTTTGGTTTCTTCACTTACTAAGAGGGTGACAATTGGAAAGCATGCCACTCTACCTCTCTGTGCCTTAGTTTCCTGCTCTGTAAAGTGGAAAAATAAGAAGCCCCATCTCACAACGATGTTGAGACACACATAAAGTAGTGTATACAGGTCCTGGTATGAAGTGTGTGTTCATTGTGTGTTGCTTCCTTATCCCTTGAAAACGCAAGTCCTGCTGACAGCTTAGCCTGATGCTATGAGTGCCAAGTCTCATCATGTATTAAATGAACACAGGATATTGCAGTAAAAGGAACTAAAATTTCACCAGCAAAATCCAAACCAGGAAATGAATAAAACATCACAGCATACACTTCTACATGGGCTCAGGTGGAAATAATTAGAAGTCTATAGTATGACACTGAATATTTCCTGACTCTGAAGAGTGATCTCTTCTCTGGAAGCAGGAATATAGGAGGAAAAGTTGGGCAGCTTCACTCCTACTTTTGCTTTGGGCTCTTTCAGGCAGATGTGTTGGGCTAGTGGTGGTGACTGGGACTGGACATCCTGACCTATTAGGGATCCTCTATGTAGCATCTGTCTCCCTCAGAGTCCCCTGGATTACTTACTCAGAAGCCCAGGGATCCACAAAGTAGGAGTGGAAGCTGTCAGGCCTTCTTAGTGTCTGAGCTGTATAAGCCTCAGAACATCTTGTCCCCAACAGTCTATGCGTCAAAGGAGGCATATGGCTAATATAAGTTCAAGAGGAGGAGATGATAATAATAAACTGCATCTTGTAATGAGAGGAGGGCCATGTTTGTATAAAGGAGGGGCAGGATTGTTTGGGGTTGTCGTTGGAAACTTGTTTCTACAGCTACTCACCTCTATCTGATGAGGGGATTACCCCTCTTTGTCAAGGATGTTGTGAAAATGAAATGGGAACAGTTATATAAAGGGGCAGCACAGAGCCTTCACCTTCCTGCCCTGGACTGGTGACAACAGCCTCACATTGTCCATAGGACATTCCTGAGGGTGGACAGAAGGACTCAGAGGAGAAATGTAGGTCTTTTCTTCCCCGAGTCCCTCCTCTCAGGTAGACCAAAACTCTCCCCCGAACATCTGACATCTTGACCCTCCTGACTCCAGACATAAGGTCCCTGTGCTGTGTGATCAGGCCCCTCCACAGAGCTGCAGACATCTCCAAAGTCAGTAGTCAGCTCTGAATCAGCACCACGGACAGCGCAATCGCCCTTTCCTGGGGATCCTCAAGAGCCAGGTAGTGCTGGACTGATGGGGCACCCTCTGTGTGCAATGGTCTGACCATAGCTGGGGCAAAGATGGGGCTGGTCACAGTCAGAGCACAGAACTTGGTAGCTGGCGGATGATATCCAGCACAGTGGGGGGGTGAGTGGGATTGAGAACATGATAGTTGAGAGTCCAGGAATTCCCAGGATACCAGGATCACCTGTGGAATTCACATCTTTTGTGACTGCCTGAGAGTCCCTACCATGTCTACTTGGTCCATTCCTCCCTGAGACTCACCTTCCAGTCCAGAGGAGCAAGAACACCTCCCTCCCCAGCCTGTTCTTTCCCATCGTAGCCACCTACACTATGGTGCTTTGTTAGGTAACCTGTTTATCTCTCAACCAGATGTTGCTCTCCTCAAAGACATGAGCTAGATCTGTCATATTCACCCCTTTCCTGGAAACCTGAAGGCACAGTGAACATGGTTGTTGAATGAATGAATGAATGACTGACAAAATGAATGAAATGTCCTCCCTCACCTCATGGGAACAGTTGAGCATTCTTCCCTCTCAGATTAGCATAAGCTTCCATCTCCCAGCCAGTGAAACCTGAGCAGAAAACCATTGAAGAAGTGGGTCTCGGTTCAGATAATAGTGCATAAGACAGGGCACCTATGTGCTTTGGCCAATTCACTTGACCACTCTTGACCTCAGTGTCTTCTTCTTCAAATTGGAGAAGTGGTGTTAGAAGGCCCCCCAGCTCTGATGGTCTATTGATCATAGTTCTTCTTTTGCACACAGTTATGTTCTCTATGGCTTCCCCCATCTTTCCTTCCTATTCTTCTGTTTTTCATGGCAAACTGGGACTGTGACAAACAGGCTGGGCATAGACAAACCCTTCTGACCACAGATGCTGCTACAGCCCCTGCAGGGAGAGAGTGAGTGGCCAGGGGAGCCCAGCAGAGGGATGGGGATGCAGGCTGAGATTCCAGCTGAAAATGCAGGAAATGGTGATGGTGTGGGAGTGTCTATGCATGCTCAACCCTGCACCTTCCTTCCCCATGATCACAGCACTGACTCTACTCTGGGTTTTTGGTGATAGTTCTGGGAAGGAGGTAATATGGGATGGGAAGAATCATGAAGTTGAATAGAAGAAAACAGACTGTATATTTTTCTACGTATACGAAGTCTTAAGAAAAGCATAGTGCAGAGCCATAGTATTAAAGGCAGCTCAGATGATAAAACTACAGATAAAAGCCAGGAATAAATTATTACAGTGAGGCTGGGGCTCCTTGAGGGGAGTGGGGTGTGGGGATAGGGAGGGGGACCCAGAGGGAGGTCCTGGGTGTTCCCAACATTCTATTGCTTGGAGGGTGTTCATTTTGTGAGGAATCATTGAGCTGTTCTTGTGGGGACACCTCTGTATGTGTCTTATGTTTCCCCAAAAAAATGTTTCAAGAAAATCGACATGGGTCTGAGGAGGCAGCACCTCCCAGGATTCCCATCGCTTCCTCCCAACCCCCACCACACAGTTAAAAAGAACCCTCCGTGAATTCAGGTGCACGTCTCTTCTCTCAGGAAATCCTCACCGTCCCTGAGGGTGGACGACCCTCAAGCTGACATTCCTTTCTCTGTGTCTCCTGCACGTGTCTCCATATCTTCCCGTCTCAGGGAGCTCCAGGTGCCGAGGCAGCTATTGTCACTCCACTGGACAGTGACTCTCAGGCCGTCGACCGGAGCTGGTGTGTGACTTTGTGAGCATAGAGGTGATGCTCACCACGTAGATGCTGAGGCAGGGAGGACAGTCAGTCTCTGTCATCTCCTGTGTCCCTGAGTCCCACTCCTGGCTGGACTGACCTCCACAGACATCCATAGTCTGTGAGTCAGGAAAGCTGACCAGAAGGAACCTATTTCACTTTGCAGAAAATGACCCTCTGAGAGGAAGGGCATCTACTTGGAGGTGGGAGATGGGGCTCGGGCACTTCATGGGGTAGGAACGTGGGCGAGACTCTCACCGTCCCTGGCTCAGGGTCCCTGGGAGTGGACATGCAGTGATGGATGGTTCATTCTATGGGCTGTCCCATGTCCGACAGCGTCTGGAGGTGAAGTTCCTCCTCTGAGGAGGGTCACTGTTCTGCCTTCACTCTCATCTTCCTGTTGGAGCCTCCTCTAAATATTTCAGTTTTTAGTTCCTGAGAGAGAACCCTGAGAAACAGACTTTCGCTGGCGGAACCTGGGACCGCCAACCCCAGACATGCTTCTGCTGTGGCTGCTGCTGGGCGTGCTCTGGTGGAGGGAGGGGGCCGAGGGCCAGAGGGAGCCCTGGGAAAACAACAAGGGTTACCAGCTGCAAGTGCCGGAGCTGGTGAGGGTGCAGGAGGGCCTGTGTGTGCGGGTGCCCTGCTCCTTCTCCTACCCCCAGGATGGCTGGACTGACTCTACCCCAGCTCACGGCTACTGGTTCCAGGAAGGGGCCAATACACACCAGGATGCTCCAGTGACCACAAACAACCCAGATCGAAAAGTGCAGGAGGAGACCCAGGGCCGATTCCACCTCCTTGGGGACCCCTGGACCTACAACTGCTCCCTGGACATCAGAGACGCCAGGAAGACAGATGATGGAAAATATTTTTTTAAAGTGGAGAGAGGAAGTGCAAAATGGAGTTACATATCCAACCATCTCACCGTGCGTGTGATGAGTAAGGAGTGGGCTCCCGGAGAGGCCAGAGGGGAAGGACGGGGGGCCCGAGGGAAGGACTGGGATAAAACCCTCCTCCTGGGAAGAGTTGGGAATACAGAGTGTCAGAGTTTAGATGGAGGATCTGGACCAAAGTCTAATGTTTCTCTGAGCCTGTACCTCAGACCCTCCCTTCTGATCTTCATGTCTCCCTCTCTCCTCACAAGCCCTGATGCACAAACCCGACATCCTCATCCCAGGGACTCTGGAGTCCGGCCGCCCCAGAAACCTGACCTGCTCTGTACCCTGGGCATGTGAGTGGGGCACACCCCCCATCTTCTCCTGGAGGACAGCTGCCCTCACCTCACTGGGCCCCAGGACCCGCTTCTCCTCAGTGCTCACCCTCACCCCACGGCCCCAGGACAACGGCACCAACCTCATTTGTCAAGTGAAGTTCCCTGCATCTGGTGTGATCGTGGAAAGCACCATCCAGCTCAACGTCACCTGTGAGTGCTGGGCCAGATCACCCGTGTCCCTGAGGGCGGAGGTGGGGAGCAGGAGGGACAAGCTGGGGATGCTTGTTTCTTTTGTCCTGGGGACCTGACTGAGTAGGGGACCTAGATGGACGTAAGCCCTGTCCCTCCTGTATTTCTGTGGCTTTTGGGGGTGGAGGCTTACCTACACTTATCCCACCCCATATTCCCACTGAAGTAGAATCCTGTCTTCTCATCCTAGGTGTTCCAGAGAACCCAGCTATTGGTGTCTGTCTCCGGGATGGCACAGGTAGGAAGGAACCCCTCCTGGGCTGTGAGCAGGGCCTCTTCCAGCTCAGGGCAGGGCTGGATCCCTGCCTCACCCTGGACTCACTCCAGTGACCAGAGATCACATTGTGGGTGAACCCTGTGGTTCCTCTCATCCCCAGCCCCCAGGGCCTCTGTGAGTAGCTGTCCCCATCAGCCCCTCACTCCCCTCAGACTTCTCCACCCTCCTCAGCTCCACAAGAAGAACAGAACAACGTTCACAGCAGAGGCCTCCTTTCAAGGCCAATTAACATCCATCTTCTGACGATTCCTCCAGCTTTGTCTTTTTATTTTTCCCTAGTACTTTGTAATTTACATTTTTTTGGACAGATGAGATATTCACATGGCCAAAAATTCAAAATGCACAGCAGAGTCTGTCCTCACATGCCCAAAGCCCTCCTGGGAAGTGTCCATAGGCTTCTCTGAGCCTTGATTTGTTCTCCCAAAGGATCTTAGGGGTCATTTGATTTCAGTAGTACAGGCTGTCCTCATTCTGCTTTGTGATTGTGGCTTATTCCATGGCCTAGATGGATTCTGATTCTGTACAGATCTTCTACTAGTGGAAAAATCATGGCATTAAGTTTATTTTACCAACAGAAATGCTGCAATCAGTAATATTGTATCTCTTTTCACACATGTGTATATATCAGACTGTGGGATAAGTTCCTAAAGCAAAACAGCTGGATTACATGTTCTTTCTATATTGAGAAACATGGTCTATTTGATCTCCATAGAAAGTGGAGAAGTTTACTTTCCCAGCATCAAGGGCTGAAAGTGTGTGCTTTCAGTAAACCAGTACGGGGTGAAACCTTTGCTTTTTGCCAGTAGCAGGTGAAAATCGGTATCGACATAGTTTTTTAAAAATCTGTATGTATTATTTTATTATGGAGAAAAGTCACATAAAATAAAATCAACATTTGGGCCATTTTCAAGTGTACAATAGTTGGCTTTTAGTACATTCACAGTCTTGCCCAACCATCACCACGATCTAATTCCATCCAGCCAACATTTTCATCCCCCCAAAGAGAAACCCTGTGCCCATGAAGCAGTCACTCTCCACGCTCTCCTCCCCCAGCCCCTGCAACCACTACTCTGCTTTCTGTCTATATTCTTTTGCCTATTCTGGACACTTCATATAAGTGGAATTGTGCAAAATGTGGCCTTTTGTGTCTGGCTTCTTTCACTTAACAAAATACTTTCGAGGTTTATCCATGTAGTATGTATCGCTAATTCTTTCTTTTTTGTCTGAATAATATTCCATTGTATGGGTGTACTACATTTTGTTTACCTATTGATCATTTGAAGGACATTTGGGTTGTTTCCACATTTTGGCTATTGAAATAATGCTGCTATGAACATTAGTGTACACACTTTTGTTCAAACATATGTTTTCACTTTTTGGGGGCATGTACCTACCTGGGAGTGGAACTGCTGGGTCGAATAGTAGTTTATATGTTTACATTTTTGAGGAAATGACAGACTGTTTTCCACAGTGGCAGCTCTGTTTTCCATTCCCAGCAGCAATGTAAGAGGGTTCCAATTTCTCCACATTTTTGTCAACATTCTTTTCTTTTTTTTTCTTAATTATAGCCCACTAGTGAATGTGAAGAGCTGGCCCTGGTGGTCTAGTAGTTAACATCTGTGCTCTCATGGCCATGGCCTGGATTAGTTTCCCGATCAGGGAACCACACCACCCATCTGTGGTTGTCATATTGTGGCAGCTGCGTGTTATTGTGATACTGAAAGTTGTGCCACCAGTATTTCAAATACCAGCAGGGTCACTCATGGTTGACAGGTTTCAGTGGAGCTTCCTGTCTTAGACAGACTAGGAAGAAGAACCTGGCCACTCATTTCTGAAAAACTTGGCCATGAAAACCTTTTGAATAGCAGTGGAGCATTGTCTGATATAGTGCAGAAGATGAGAAGATGATGCAAAAACACTAGGCAGGGTTCCACTCTGCTGCACACAGGGTCGCTAGGAGTCAGAATCGACTCCACAGCACTAACAAGTGGGTGTGAAGGGGTATTTCATCATGGTTTTGATTTGCATTTATGTAATGACTAATGATGCTAATTTTTTCATGGACTTACCGGCCATTTGTATATCTTCTTTGGAGAATTATTTATCAAGTCCTTTACTTATTATTTTATTGGGTTTTTCACTTGCTGTTTTTGAGTTGTAAAAGTTCTTTACATATGCTGGATATGTCACTCTTATAAGATCTATGATTTGCAAATATTTTCTCCCACTAAATGTATTAGCTTCCCACTTTTGTGATAGTGTCAGTTGACAAAGAAACTTTGTCATTTTGATGAAGTCCAACTTATGCAGTTATTGTCTCTCCAACTGTTGGACACTCAGGACATGGAGTGGGGTGAGGCCCAGGCGCAGGTGGTCCTGCCTCCAGTGATGCAGGCGGGCCTGGAGACCCAATGTCCAGAGTCCTGCTGGGATTGGAAGGACTAGGGTTGCTGTGGAGCAGGTGAATCTGTCCTCATCCTACTTTCCTGCAGGGAGGTCAGTGCCCGTGGCAGAGGTGGTTCTGGTGGCCATTGGGGAAGCGGCTGTGAAGACCCTGCTCCTCCTCCTCTGCCTCATCTTCCTCAGGTGAGCATTGTCCCAGGAGGAAGGGGAGGCAGGGGGAGGGCAGGGGGCACATGGCTGAGTCCCAGAAGCAGTGATGGAGGGTCCTGAAGGAGTCAGGGGTTTGGGCAGGTAGGAGGCAGATGGGGGCAGGGGAGGGGGAAGGACCTACACTGGCAGCCATCCTGTGTGCCCACCTAGTGTCCAAGATAGCAGGTACCTGTGTGCTCAAGGTGGGTCTGTGGAGCCAGACCTGCCGTCTCCCACCTCAATCACCCCTCCAGCCCCTGAACAGGGAAGAAGGGGTGAGCCCCCTGGACTGTGATGCAACCAGACTGAAAGACCCTCGTCTCTTCTGTTAGAATGAGGTCCCGCAGGAAGAAGGTGGCAAGGCCCACAGGGGGCACGGAGGATTCAAACACCATCCCAAGTTAATCCCTCATGTGAGTGAACCAGACGTCTCACTACCCAACATCAACCACACGTCTCCTCCAGGGTGGCCCCCAGGATTGCTCTGGTCAGCATGCCAAAGTTCAGCTGCCATCTTCCTCCCCAAACCCACTTCTCTGCTGGATTCTCTCACACGCTGATGACACCATGGCCCCATCTCTAAGGCCAGGACCAGGATATGGTTCTCCTCTTTACCTCCCTCCCTTCTCCCTGATCCATTCATCCATAAGTCCTGTCTATCCTTCCTCCTACACAACTCATCTTGCTGCTTGTCCCCTCCTCATCCTGACCTGGTTGTTCCCGAGTCATCAACTCTTCCCTGTGTCTTTGAACCCACCCCACAACCTGCCTCCATCTCTCACCTTAACACAGACCTCCAGACTGTGTTTCCAGAGACCATCATCGTCCATGTCCCGCACAATGTGGACAGCTACGTGTCCTCTCCATGGCAAGAGACCGAGATGCAAGCAACAGGCTGGATTTGAAGGCTTGGCCTTTTCTGTCCCCCTACTGGCCTCTCCCTCCAGATTCCTCCCTCTCTCTGCATCTGGCAATATCTCAACCCCCAGTTGGGCCAAGGCCCCTGTGACTCTGAGACTTTACATGCACAGTTCCTTCTCCTGAAATGCCCTTCCCTCCCCATTCCTGCCTCTCCAAGTCCTGCTCCACCTTCAGGCTCATTCTTAACTATCATGAGGCTTGTGTGTGTGTGTGTGTGTGTGTGCGTGTGTGTGTGTTTGTGTGTATCATTGTATGGTTCTTAGCAGAGTGCCATCCAGTCGCTTATTCATACACTCAATTAACAAGTGGTATTGCACACCTACCACATGCCAGCATTGTCATAGGGGACAGGGGTGCATCGGTCAACACAACTTCAAAACCCACTGTCACCCAAAAGATTTGAAGGGATGCTTCTCAAAGAGGACATACAAATGACCAAGGATCATATGAAACATGGTCAACATCATCAGTCATTAGAGAAGTGCAAATCGAATCCACAATGAAATATGACTTCACACCCATTAGGACAGCTATTATATCTTTTGGAAAAAAAAAAAACAGAAAATAACATGTGTTGCTGAAGACACGGACAAATGGAACCCTCATGCATTGTTTGTGGTAATGAAAAATGGTGCAGCCTCAAGGAATACCCTTTGAATTTCCTCCAAAAGTTAAACACAGAATTAACCTATGACCTAGCACTTCCACTTCTAGCTGTGTACTCAAAGGAATTGAAAGCATGGATATAACAGGTACTTGCACATAATTGTTCATAGCACCAGTTTTCACAGTAGCAGTGGAACCAACCCTACTGTCCATCAACAGAAGAATGGATGAACCAAACATGGTATATAGATATAATGGAGTATCATTCATCCTTAAAGAGCAATGAATGACATTCTGACACATGCTACAACATGGATGACCCTTGAAAACAACATGGTAAATGAAAGGATCCAGACACAAAAGGACAAATATTGCATGATTCTGCTTCTATGAGCTGCCCACGGAGGCAAAGTCACAGAAACAGAAACTAGAATGGTGGCTGCTCAGAACCAGGGGATGGGGGATGAGAATTTGTTGTGTAACTGTGCAAAGTTACTGTTTGGGATTATGGGAAAGTTCTGAAAACACACAGTGGAGATGGTTGCACAACACTGTGAGTGTGCTTAGTGTCACTGAATTGCACCCTACAAATGTTAAAAATGGCAAGTTTTATTTTGTGGATATTTTACCACAATAAAATAAGGGGAACAAGAAGCACTTCTGTCATCAAGATGCTGTCATTATGAAGGTGAGAATAAAAAATAAATAAAATTAGAGCATGTTGGAAATTGACACGTGTTTGGACGAAATCCTTCAAGGAAAGGAGCCTGTGACATAATGGCGTGGGTTTTCTATATCGGACATTGTGATGTGATGGAGGTGATGTCTGAACAAAGACTTGAAGGTAGGGAGGAAGCAGGCTCTGTGTTTTCCTAAGATAAAAGTATTCCAGGAAGATGGGGAAGGGGGAGGAGTGAGTGCTATGGTGCTGAGGCAGAAGCAGGTGTGATGTGTAGTGGAGACAAGAGGCCCATGTGTGACAGCACAGGGAGGATGGTCCAGACCCCGTGGAAGACCAGTGCTGGCCAGTGCACAATTCTGGAAGCCTTTGAGGGGAGCAGACACATGACTAGACCCTCACATTAGCAGGATCCCAATAGCTGCTATGTTCAGAATCAACCAGAGTTGGTACAGGGCAGCAAGAAATAGATGTGGCACATCACTACTGGGTACTCTAGGAAGGAGGTGGTGGTGCCCTGGACCAGGGGCATTGTGTAGGTAGGGAGGATATATTTGGGAAACATTTGGAAGGTCAAACTGACTGAATTTTCTAATGGATGTGGTAAGTGAGGGAAAGAGAGGAGCAAGGATGGTGCTGAAATCTTTCTTCTGAGTAACTGGAAGGATGCAGTTGTGTTCCATGGAGGGCGACAGAGAGTAGGGCTTTGAAGTGTGCTGATCACTCTGAGAAGTCACTTGCTAGCAACTCGGGACGTCAGCGAGAGAGCTGAATATGAGATATCTGGAGATCAGGAGAGGCTTTAGACTGGAGATGTTAAAATGTATAGCCAGCGTAAGGTAATGACAACAGATGAGGTAAAAAAAAAAAAAAAAAAAAAAGAAGGGTTGATAAGAGAACAGCAGTTCCTCAACAAAATAAAAATAGAGTTACCATACGACCCAGAAATTCCACTTCTGGGTATACGTGCAAAAGAATTGAGCTCAGAGACTCAGATATATTTGCACACTCATGCTCACAGCAGCGTTTTTCACAATAGCCAAAAGGCAAAAGAAACCCAAGCATCCCTTAATGGACAGATGGATAAACACAGTGTGTGTATACCTACTGTGGAATACAATAAAGTCTTAAAAGGAATGAATTCTGACACATGCTACCACGCGGATGAAGCTTGAGAACATTATGATAAGTGAAATAAACAGTGATAAAAAAGGCAAATACTATACGATTCCCTAATATGACATATCTAAAGTAGTCAAATTCCTAGAGACAGAAAATGGGATGGTGGTTGCCAGGGGTTAGGAGGTGGAAGGAAATGGGAAGTTTTTGTTTAGCGGGAATAGTTTCAAGTACTGCAAGTTGAAGAGTGTTTAAATGTTTTTGGCCAGATGTCAAATATAGAAATATAGAAAATCCCAAGTACCTACCAGGACACACAGCAAACTGACTAGTGACTGCAGTTCTAAAGCCCAACAGTATTGAGTGTTTGAGGAGGAAGTGACTCCACTGGGTGGGGAACATCTCATGGACATGGACCAGGTCTGTCGTCTTCCTTCTTGTCTCCAGCATCTCCAACATAGAGATGCTCACTAAGTGTTTGAGGAATGAATGAATGAATGATTGGCTTCTGCCTTTAGTCATCTAGGACCCCTTTCTTTTCCTCTGCTTCAGAGTATCACACAGACCCTAAAGAATCCTACACCAGGCAGGACCATCAACCACTGCTCTAGATGAGGCTTTTACTCTCCGGGGTTAGGCAGGAGCTGACCAACTCCCTGGTGTAGACACCAGTGCTCAGAGAAGCACCTCAGACGGGAGGCCCTTAGAGACTCACTGTGTCCCACACCTTAGATGTCCTCATAGGTCCTGGTCCAGGCTCTGGTGCCAGAGGGAAGCCCCAAGATGGGGCAGGACACGGGGTCTGCTTGTCTGCTCCCCTCTGGGGCAGACTCAGGGTCTCTGAGCAGTGGGGTGTGCAGAGAAGGAATGAGCTCCAGCCTGCAGTTCCTCATCTGTGAATAACCAAGGTCATGTGCTCCTCCCCAGATTCCCGTGGGTCCTCCCTCAACTCCACTCCCACTCACCTTCCCCTTCTCTTTTCAGACAAAGGACAAATGCCCAGAACTCTCCATCTCAGAGATGCTGCCACTGCTGCTGTCCCTGCTGTTGGTGGGTGTGTGGGCCGAGGGGAGAGGGGGCGGGCGGGGCAGGAGCTGTTGCTGACCCTGTTTCTCTTCAGGGTCTCTGGCTCAGTATGACAGACACCCACTGGAATTGCAGGAATCCGTGACTGTGCAGGAGGGCTTGTGTGTCTCTGTGCCCTGCACATTATCCCATCCCCGGTACTACTGGAATAATGCTGCCCCAGCTCACGGATACTGGTTCCAGGAAGGGGCAAATCCACACCAGCATGCTCCTGTGGCCACAAACCACCAGTTAGTAAAGTGCAGGAGGAGACCCAGGGCCGATTCCGCCTCCTTGGGGACACTTGGACCTACAACTGCTCCCTGGATGTCAGAGACACCAGGAGGAAGGACAATGGAAAATACTTTTTTCGGGTGGAGAGAAGAAGTACAAGATGGGCTTACACAACTAACCATCTCTCTGTGCATGTGACCAGTAAGGAGTGGGCTCCAAGAATCGCCACAGAGGAAGGACATGGAGGTTCCAGGGCAGGGCTGGGATGGGACCCCTCTTCTGGGAGGAGTTGGGGGTACAGTGTGTCAGGGCTCAGAGAGAGGAGCTGGACCAAAGCCTGAGGCTTCTATCAAGTGGACACCTCAGACTTTCACTCCTGATCCC